ACAACGTTAACATAGCGGAGGTCAACGAATCTATCATCTTGCAAAGTGTAGACATATTTCGACCATTCCTGTTTTTCAACATCTTTTAGAACCCACATACGCAACTCAAGGGTATTGCTATCGAAAACATACTTACTGTCTAATCCCACCTAATTTACCTTTATAGTTTATCAATATAGCACAAAAGCATTCTTCTACCTCAATGAATTTAAAATTTTGAGACCTAACATCAAAGCAAACTATCATTAAAGAAGGCACTTCACCAATCACATCTGACGTGCAATCAGCTAAGTAATACAAAACCCCATTGATGAAGATTCCTTGAGGGTAAGGAAAATAGGTTAAGGGACATTGGATCTTCCTCCAACCTAATTTTCTAGTTTCTAATGTCAGAATTCTATGATCAATAGAACAAAGTGGACCAGAAGCCATTACCAATACCTTGAATTGCTTGTCTATCGGATCAAACCCTAAAAAGCTTCTCAACATTCCGTCAGTTTCTAGTTTAGGCAAGGTTGCATATTGTCTAGTTGTAGGGTTAAATATCACAGGCCCCACTGCATCTGCACCCTTCTTTTCTGGGAAACGTATGTTAGAGAAATAAATCAAACCAGAGGTAAGGACACGACGAAAGTATGTCGACCACATGTCTCCGGAGAACTTGATATGAAAATCGGCAGATACTACAAGAGAGGACTTCCCATATGGATGTTGAAGCTGAGGTGACGAGAAGACGCTACACTCGCGGTTTCTTTCGAGGATGATTAAGAGATGTGGACGAGCCCATGACCTTGTCAAGAACAACTCTGTGAAATATTGGCTATGAAGCATGGAACCCCATTGCTTCGACACACAATGAAACCTAGTGATGGACTTTGAAGGCAATCTCGAGAATATCTCGAGAAAGAGATCAAACGAGATGGTATCTTGGATTTCTTCTCTTCTATTCATCATGACCGCGTTGTATTGGCTGATCTGAGGGCAGAGAGATACGTTTCTACGAGTACAAACCATTCAATATAGAGTCGGCGCTAACCTAAGGCCCTACACAAGGTAATCATTCTAATAAATACGAGTTCCGGTATGGAAATTATTGAGTAATATGGTTTAGTTTTTTCCGGTTACAAATTGTGTTAATGTTTTTAAGATCACTGTTCGGTTCAAGAGGATAGTTTTGAAATTTCTCCACTTTCCAAAACTTTGAATTTGGTTTGAACATCTCACAACTATACAGGCTTTAAAGGAGATGGTTTTAAAATGTGAAGGTGAATGCTTTTTCCCCCACTAGAATTTCCAAATTCTCTAGTTTAGTAGATATATAGTAGACGTTGATGAATGGGAGCAATCAGCTTGTCAGTGTGATGGATGCCCGTTTAAGAAAAAATGGGGAGACTTTGATAGCAAATGCTCTGGCAATCGTCTCTATATGAAGGAACAAGACACTTGTATTGGTAAACGTCGAAACAAACAATCAAGAACTAAACTCTATCATAATCTCATTCCGTTTGTTTTGTTTCTTCCCAGAGAGAAGTGGATCAAGAATGGATGGTTCTTCACATTTGTGATCCTAGCTGCAGTTGCAGGTATCTGTGTAGCTGGTTACGTATTCTACAAGTATCGTCTCAGGGTATTGTTTTTACACTTTTGCTTCTCTTAACGAATCTTTCAATTCACCGTCGTCATCATAATTAATCTCTCTAATGATAATTCTGATTTTTGTGTGTCCAAACCAAAAATTCAGTCTTATATGGATTCAGAAAATCATGACGATTATGTCTCAGACTCTCATTAACATGCCATTGGAGAGCCAAAACACAAACGATCCAATGACTGGTGAATCTCAACAGCAACAGCTGAGATTAACTTCTGCAGCTTAAATTTAACTTCACTTTTGTTTAATAGATGATTGTTGTGTTAACCTCAAGGAAAGTCTTTATAAAGAGCTAAAGAAGAAGTGTTCTTTTGTTTTTACTTTTTATTGTTTAAGAAGAAGAAGAAAAAAAAAGATTTCATTTTTGGTCATTTTTATCTTTTTTTTCTCTCCTCTTTTCATTGTTGTAGATAGATATACATGCTTAAGATTTTATAGGGTAAGATTTTAAAAGAACGTTTGTATTGAAAGTGAGAACAACAAGAGCTATCTGGTCATCTGTAAATTACTGAATGAGTTGGTTGGGACTTTGGTTATAAATGTGATACGTATTGGGCCGATCATTCACCAATGTTATATCAATACCGAAGGAAGGGGAAGGCCCATCAGGCCTGAGCCAGATAAGAGCACCGTCTAGTCTGCGAGGAAGCACCTGTGGACTTCTAGAAGCAGCAGTTACCGTAGTAAGGGTAAGGAATAACCACAATCAGGGTGTGGGGGAGGACTGCTCACGTGAGGAGGGAGGTAGAATCTTTCTTGGGAGGAGAGAGACTCCCAAATACCTTTCCCTCATTCCTTGTACTTCTACTTTCATCAATACAATCCAGCCATTATCCTACTACAATCGTTTTCTAAGCTCCATTGATAAGTTTCATCTATCAAAATGAAAGAGACTATGGTTTTCTTTTCTCATAAAACAAAGTTTGAGGTTTTAAACGGAGAACGTAAGAAATTTGGACCGGCTCATATATATGAATTCCTGTTAAGATATGTTCGTCGCAAAGAGAACGCTAGAGGAAAAAGAGAGATGGAAAATCGACTTTTGAGTTGTCCTTGAAAAACTCTCCTCTCCTACTAAAGATTCTCCATAAGCATTTTGTTCTTGGAGTATAAAATTATAAACCTCTCTCTCTCTTATTTTTATTTTAAAAGAACCTTGACGCACAATTTCTCTCTGCTTCTTCTTCTAGACGTACCTACAAGAAACCCATTTGGTGCTTAAGTTTCTCTCCTCGTTTCTGTTACAGAGTCACCTTTTACCAAAGCCAGTTCTGTTAAGACTTGGATTTTTAATCTGAGTTTTCTCTTTCACGGTCGCTAATCAAAGCGTTTCCTTTTATTCATTGGGAATTCCAAATCAAATAAAATGCATGCAGACAGAAATAAAGAAGCGTCTCATATCTCACAGCACGTACTATAACAAAGAATATTGACATTATGAACAAAAAAAGAGTTTTATGAAAAGGCAATCAATGTAGGATAATACATTAGTTTGCTCCCAAGTAAAGTCTAACAAAATTAGGACATAAACATGATAACCATAAAGAACGAAAACAGCTAAGCCATACGCACTGATCACAGCCAAAACAAGCTAGACTCTTGTACATGATTTTGAATTCGCCTCCAGCAAAAACTCAACACCTGTCCTCACTCAAGGTTTGCTAATAATTCGTACTTGTTTTGCTGCTTATTCTTCAAAAATATTTAAGTCTTGGCTTGACTTGAGGTACTTTAGATTAGATTGTCAACATAAAGATCCTCTACATAGTCAACAAAGACAGAAACACTATGACGATCTGCATCATAGTAGTCTCCAAAACCTTGGATTTTAACACTTTGGAGAGTGCTCCTTGCGGGGTTGAAGTAGAAAACATAAACCAGTTTAGATTTATACATTGACAACACAATTTCACCGGTAGTTGTTATTCCAGCGACGGTAACATAGCTGAGGTCAACGAAATCATCATCTTGCAAAATGTAGACATTTTTCGACCATTCCTGTTTTTCAACATCCTCTAGAACCCACATACGCAACTCAAGAGTATTGCTATCGTAATCATATTTTTCTCTAATCCCACCTAGTTTACCTTTATAGTTTATCAATGTAGCATAAAAGCATTTTTCTGCCTCAATGAATTTGAATTTTTCAGACCTAACATCAAAGCAAACTATCACTAAAGAAGGCATTTCACCAATGACATCAGACGTGCGATTAGCTAAGTAATACAAAACCCCATTGATGCATATCCCTTGGGGGTAAGGAAAATGGGTTAAGGGACATTGAATCTTCCTCCAACTCATTTCTCCAGTTCCTAATGTCAGAATTCTATTATCATTACAAAATTCTGGATAAGGCATGGACAATACCTTGAACTGCTTGTCAATTGGATGAAACCCTAAGAAGTTATCAAACGCTTTGTACCTTGAACTGTTTGTCAGTTCAGGTAAGCTCGCATACTGTCTAGTTGTAGGGTTAACTATCACAGGCACCACTGCATCCTCAACTTTTTGAGATCCGCATGATCAAACCAGAGGCAAGGCCACAAATGGTTGCAGGCAACATGTCTCCCTAGAACTTGACATGAAAATCTGCAGATACAACTACAAAAGAGGACTTCCCATATGGATCTTGAAGCTGAGGCGACGAGAAGACGCTACACTCGCGGTTTCCTTCGAGGATGATTAAGAGACGTGGAAGAGCCCATGACCTTGTCAAGAACAACTCTGTGAAATGTTGACGATGAAGCATGGAACCCCATAGCTTCGACAAACAACGAAACCTAGCGATTGACTTTGAAGGCAATCTTGAGAATATCTCAAGAGAGAGATCAATCGGGATGGAATCTGGAATTTTCTTCTCTTCTATTCATCATGACCGTGTTGTATTGGCTGATCTGAGGGCAGAAAGATACGTTTATACGAGTACAAGTCATTCAATCTAGAGTCGGCGTTAACCTAAGGCCCAAAACTCTGAAGTACCACAAAGTATCATCAAAACGTATACAGATTAACTCTACAATCGCTGTTTTTTGTATTCATTACCATGGGGAAGATATTATTGATTTAGAACTTAAGAGATGGAACCTTGATAATCCTGAAGAGCTATCACCTTTGTCATGATTACTAGATATGTAACAATGCATACAAAAGTAGATAAACAATTAGAACGAGAATACTATAAGTGGTCTTAAAAAAACCTCTAGAGTTTTTATCATTATGAAAAGAGGAGTTTTATTGAGAAAAAAACCAAAATTATGCGGGATCAAACATTATATTGCTTTCAAGGAAAGTGCAATACAATTAGAACATGGAGAAGAAAAGCAACGTCACAGCGAAACTAGCTAAGACTCTATTTTAAAAAGTTTAAATCCTCCACATGGTCTACAAAAGCGTAAACTCTACCACGATCCTCACCAATACCTTGAATTTCAACTTTTTGAAGAGTATTACTTTCAGGATTGAAGTAGAAAATGTAAGAAGTTTTAGATGTATACATCTTTGACAAAATAATTTCACCTGTATTTGTCATCCCAAGGACGAAAGTATTTCGTACAACTTCATTCTCAGGCAAAGTGTAGACTTTTTTCGACCATGCCTGTTTCTCGACATCCTCTAGAACCCACAAACACAGCTTATGGGTCTTGCTATGTCCATCAAACTTCCAATCAATCCCACCTAACTTACCCTTATAGTTTATCAATTTAGTTCCCCAAAACCCAAATGATTTCCCGTTAATAAACTTAAATTTCTCAGACCTAACATCAAAACAAACTATCAATTTAGTTTCTTGATCAGTTGCTTTAACATAAGTGTAAACTAAGTAATATAAAACCCCATTAATGCATATTCCTTCGATAATGTATCCATGGGGGAATGGACATTGGATCTTCCTCCAACTCATTTCTCCAGTTCCTAATGTCATAATTCTATGACGATCACTAGCCAATACCTTGAATTGTTTGCCAATTGGATCAAACCCTAAAAAGCTTGTCGACTTTCTGTACTTTCTCAGTTTAGCTAAACTCTGTCCCGTGATAGGATTACATACCGACATATCAGGGAAATAGATCAAACCAGAGGCATAGCTGCAACTGTATTGTTTTGTGTCTTTAGAGAACTTTGTATGAACTTCAGCGGCTACTACAAGAGACGACTTGTCATACGGATTATGATGCTGAGGCAACGAGAAGAAGCACCACTCACTTTCTCGTTCCACCGCAAATAAGAGACGTGGACGAGTCGAGGACCTGGTCAGGAACAACTTGGTGAAATATGGACGGTGAAGCATGACCCTCCATAATTTCGAGAGGCTACGAAACCTACCAACTGACTTCGCTGGCAATCTAGAGAATATCTCGGTAATGAGATCAGTCGGGAAGGAATCCAAGTTTACCCTTCTTTTCATCGAATTGAAAGATTGTTTATTACCTTGGGACATCGTTGGCTTGTGTCGTAAGCAAGTTTGTTCGAATTAATTAGGGTTGGAGATGAAACCCTATTAATTATGAGGAAGACTAATGAAGGATGAGCAAGGCAATAGTTACAATAAAAACAATAATAAGAAGGGAGTAATTAATATTTACAATTTATCTTGTGGCTGCTCTATATTTATTTCGATTTTTTTTACATTTAAATCTGTTTTTTTTTAAGTTAGAAAAATTTAGTGAAAAAAATAGTTTGAAGAGAGAAATGTATCAGCTTTAAAAAGATTGACAATTTTTTGCCATTACCTTTACCTCTGCAGCTTTTGGGTATTTGTTTGATCATGATTCCCTGATTCTGTAGAAATGTTAAAAAATCTTTTGGACGTTATATATGGTATATGTTCATAAACACATTAGGTAAACAAATCTGAGAAATCGTTTTAGATCTTTTGTTTGATTCCATAAAACTGGCATATCATTGGAATTTCTATCCTCTGGATCAAATCTTTCCTTAAAGAAAGCTGAAAAAATAATCATCTATCGGTCTAAAGTCATATTTTAAAAATATCATTGGATGCCAGAATTTCAGTGAGAAAAGTAGAGTATCTTCAACACAAGGGTTCGTCAAGCCCCATCAGATGATCAAAGGCTGGTATAAGTAGGAGATTGGCACAATGTATTTTTGCTTCTCTTCGACATACACTGCAAGAAACCTTTTTGGTGCTGAAGTTTCTTTCCTCGTTCCTGCTATACAGAGCCATGCACAAAGAAACATCTTACTAAAGCCAATTTTTTTGTTTTCTGAAACTAAGTCTTGGTTCTTCAGTCTTCAGTCTTCACGTTTGTGATCCTAGCTGCCGTTGCAGGTATCTGTGTAGGTGGTTACATATTCTACAAGTATCATCTTAGGGTATGATTTTACACTTTCGCTTCTCTTAATGAATCTTCAAATTCATCGTCGTAATTATAATTAATCATAATTAATCTCTCTAATGTGAATTATGATTTTTGTGTGTCAAAACCAAAATGTAGTCTTATATGGATTCAGAAATCATGACGATTATGTCTCAGTACATGCCATTGGAGAGCCAAAACACAAACGATCCAATGACTGGTGGATCTCAACAGCAACAGCTGAGATTAACTTCTGCAGCGTAAATTTAACTTCACTTTTGTTTAATAGATGATTTGTTGTTGTGTTAACCTCAAGGAAAGTCTTTATAAAGAGCTAAGAAGATTACAAGCAAAAGAAAAAAAAAGACTTCTTTTTTGGTCACTTTTACCTACTCTTTTCATTGTTGTAGATAGATATATGCTTAAGATTTTGAAACGAAGTTTGTATTTGAAAGTGCGAACAACAAGAGCTCTCTGGTCATCTGTAAATTACGGAATGAATTGGTTGGGGCTTTGGTTATGAATGAAACAGACTATCGTTTTGTTTTGTAATAAAACCAAGTTTGAGGTTATTAACGGAGAAGATAAGAAATTTAATTTGGGCTGGGTCATATATATATATATATATATATATATATTTTTCTGTTAAGATATGTTCGTCGCAAAGAGAACGCTAGAGAAAAAAAAGAAAGATGGAAAATCGACTTTTGAGTTTCTCTTACACCTTTGCCAATCACAGTGTTTCCTTCTATCGTTGGGAATCCAAAATATGCATGCAGAAAGAAAGAAGCGTCTCATTATAGCAGAGAATATTGACATTGCGAAAGAGTTTATGAAAATGCAATCAATGTTGGATAAAACATTAGTTTGCTCCCAAGTAAAGTCTAACACAATTAGGACATCAACATGATAACCAGAAAGAACAAAAACAGCTAAGACAACATAGTGATAATATTCACTGTAACTGAGAAGTCACATGCAGTGATCACAGCCAAAACAATCTAGACTCTTGTACATGAATTTGAATTCGCCTCCAGCAAAAACTCAACACCTGTCCTCACTCAAGGTTTGCTAATAATTCGTACTTTTTCTGCTGCTTGCTCTTCAATAATATTTAAGTCTTGGCTTGACTTGAGGTACTTTAGATCGCCAACATAAAGATCCTCTACATAGTCAACAAAGACATAAACACTATGATGATTCACATCATATTAGTCTGAGTGTCCAAAACCTTGGATTTCAACACTTTGGTGAGTACTCCTTTCGGGGTTGAAGTAGAAAACATAAAACAGTTTAGATTTATACATTGACAACACAATTTCACCCATAGTTGTTACTCCAGCGACGGTAAAATAGCGGAGGTCAACGAATCTATCATCTTGCAAAGTGTAGATATATTTCGACCATTCCTGTTTCTCGACATCCTCTAGAACCCACATACGCAACTCAAGAGTATTGCTATCGCAATTATACTTATGTCTAATCCCACCTAATTTACCTTTATAGTTTATCAATGTAGCATAAAAGCATTCTACTGCCTCAATGAATTTGAATTTTTCAGACTTAACATCAAAGCACACTATCACTAAAGAAGACGTTTCACCAATCACATTAGACGTGCAATATAATCAGCTAAGTAATACAGAACCCCATTGATGCAGATCCCTTGGGAGATAGGAGTCTGGGTTAAAGGACATTGGATCTTCCTCCAACCCATTTTTCCAGTTTCTAATGTCAGAATTCTATGATCATCAGAATAAAGTGGACAAGAAGCCATTACCACCAATACCTTGAATTGCTTGTCTATCGGATCAAACCCTAAAAAGCTTCTTGACATTCCGTCTGTTTCCAATTTAGGCAAGGTTGCATATTGTCTAGTTGTAGGGTTACAAATGACAGGCACCAGTGCATCCTCACCCTTCTTTTCTGTGATCAGCTTGCTAGAGAAATAAATCCAACCCAGAGGTAAGGCCACGAATGTTTGGAGGCAACATGCCTACGGAGAACTTGACATGAAAATCGGCAGATACGACTACAAGAGAAGACTTCCCATATGGATGTTGAAGCTGAGGCGACGAGAAGACGCTACACTCGTGATGTCCTTTGAGGATGAATAAGAGACCTGGACGAGTCCATGACTTGGTCAAGAATAACTCGGTGAAATATGGATGGTGAAGCATGGAACCCCATTGCTTCGACACGCAACAAAACCTAGCGATGGACTTTGCAGGCAGTCTCGAGAATATCGAGAGAGAGAGATCAAACGGGATGGAATCTAGAATTGTTACTCCTCTTTTCATCATGATCGTGCTGTATTTGCTGATCTGAGGGAGAGACAAGTCCGAGTACAAATTATATATATAAATCGGCGCTAACATAAGGCCCAAAATCTGAGGTTAACCTAAGGCCCATAATCGAAGGTGGCGACATGAGATCAAAGCCTTCCAAAGAAAGAAACCGTTGGCTTTAAGGACTCAAAGAAGGTGTAGCCAAAGCTTTACCCAATCGTAGCGAAAGGTGTAACCTCAAGATTTTTTCTGGTAAGTTTTACCCAATCGTAAATCCAATTTTTTAAACTTATCACTTGAAGAAAACTCCTCGTTTCCAAGGTTCTGTTTTTTTTTTTCCTCTGCTTTTCGATTTTTGCTTTGTTAGTTATTTTTTATTTGTCTTTCTTATAAATGTACATTATTGGAGTTACTAAGGGTGAGAAACTGGAAGCTAAACAGAGCTTATGCGTTTCTTGAAAAAGGTTTAGAGAAAACAAAGTGAAGAAAACTTTCCAAATTTTTGTGGCATCAAGATTTGAGTGTTTGTTGAGTTTAAGTAAAAACATAATCTTTTCATTGTTGTTGTTGAAATGGCTAGTGGATAATCCAAAGGTCGTGTCAAACTCTTTCTATGTCTCTTCCACCTGTATGTTTGTTCTACCCATTGTTTAAACAGATCTCGATAGGAAATGAAAAATGGCTACAAACTTCTTCATAGTTTGATCTTCAGGTTCAACGATATCTTGAATGTGTTCATATGACTTTATATAGATTGCTAAAGATGGACTTTGAAGGCAATCTCCAGCAGTGGCGAATCTAGAACATTTTTTTTTTTGGAGTATTTTCAATAAAATGCATATTTTCTTTTTTAATTAGGGGCACTTTTCTATAAACTTATTTAAATACTAAATCAGTTTATTTTAAAGTTTATTTAATAATAAAAAAAAAGTAAGGGGCATATAATTCCACACCCTCCTCTCTACTGCCGCCCCTGATCTCGAGGATATCTCGAGAAAGAGATCAATGGGGACGGAATCTAGAATGTTTACTTCTGTTTTCATCATGATCGTGCTGTATTGGCTGATCTGAGGGAGATACAGACAGATACAATTATACAAATCACTCAATATAGAGTCGGCGCTAACCTAAGGCCCAAAAATCTGAAGTACCACAAGGTAATCAATCTAATAAATACCAGGTCCGGTATGGAAATTATTGACTAATATGGTTTGGTTTTCTCCGGTTACAAATTTTGTTAAATGTTTTCAAGATCACAGTTCGTTTCAAGATGATAATTTTGTGATTTCTGTATCGAAGAAAGAGCTAGGAACGTAAAACGTTTTATAAAAAAACTAATAACTACAACATCAATCTTCATGGATCTCTCTAATGATAATTCTGATTTTTTTGTCAAAACCAAAATGCAGTTGTCTCAAAATCATGCCATTGGTGAGCAAAACGCAAAACGATCCAAGGACTGGTGAATCTCAACAGCAACAGCTGAGTTAAAATTATGCAGCTGAAAGTTAATTTCACTTTTGTTAATAGAGGATTTGTTGTTGTGTTAACTTCAAGGAAACTGGTCTGTAAAGAGCTAAACAAGAAATTTTCTTTTGTTTTTACTTTTTCTTGATAGAGAGGAAGACAAAAAAAATCTTCATTTTTTGGTCATGTTCACATTTTTTTTCCTTCTCTTTTCCTTGTTGTAGATAAATAATATGCAAAAGCATTTATAGGGTTTAAATCATTTGTATCGAAAGTGCTAACAACTATGGTTTTTTTTTTTTTTTTAAATGAGTTAGTTTGGACTTTGGTTATATATGAAACAGAGTGATGGTTTTTTTTTTTTT